ACTACGTTATGAAAAAAAATAAACTGAACACCTTTTGCCTCAGGGTCGCATCGAGTTTCCTTTATGCCGCAGTTGACGACCGAAGCATCGTGTGCAGTAGATGCAGTCAAGAAGGCGCTTACCCCATGGGTCGCACAGAAAGGGGTTAGTTTGTTTGGTCGATCCTTGATCGTGAACAATGCAGCGTTCTCGACGATCTGGTTTCAAAGAGCACTGTATCAACTTGATGACCCGGCTTACACTGTCCTCAAGAAATTGGCCACACATTATCTGTGGAGAGATCGAACAAATTGACACCTCAAGAACTTGGCCACACATTATCTGTGGACAGACTCATTCTTGCCAAAGGTCGCTTGTGAAGTTGTGACCCAGCCTAACAGACAGAGCAGGTGGACTCACAATCTTGGACCTGAATGGCCAAATTGCGGCCTTACTATTCAGATGGGTCCCCTGGGCAATTTTGCAAGGGCCATTTGTAATTTTGTACCATGGAGGCAGTTTGCAGAGTTTACATTGTTTACAGCCTGGGGATGCACAGACCTGCGGTGCATCTGGATAGCAGTCCAAAACCCGGCATACTTGTGTGAAGGCAGCTGCCACAAGGATAATTACTCCGCCGCTTGCTTCGCATGGCCACACTTTCCCTCCATGGAGAAGGTGTTGCCCTGTGCGGTTACCCCCGTCCCATGATGGCGGACCGAATCTTGACCCAGCCCTTGTTTGACAACCCGCGGATTCTTACTTACCCCGGCGGGATTCCCCTTCCCCTGCTTTGGCAGGGGGATGTTTGGGGACACTATGGCATGTCCAGAGGCCTGGGGACGATTCATGATATGTGGGATGTTCAAGGACAGGATTGAAAACCGTTTGAAGCCTTGGCGCACACTCAGACTGGGTTATGGCATCAGAGAGATCATCTTACTCTGCTTCAGCGGGCAGTACCGGAACAGCGGAGTCAGCACCTCAAGAACGGGCTGCTCCCGTATCAAGGATGCTGGTATAACAAAACGGAAGATCGCTGTGTCCTCGAATACTGTGGAAAATCGAACAAATTGACACTACACACACAGTGGCATCGACACGGGAAACGGAGCAGGGCAATGCATTTCTTTGGGCCCTCCCTTGGTACAGGCTCAGCAGAATCTTCCGCTCCCTCGGTTGCCAAATCTCACACCTGTTTGTGTTTTGGATTATCCAGACCAGGTGCATCTGTTTGCCGTGGCCGTACCCTCGTATCAGCTGACTTTAGATCCCTGGGACTGGGGCTGGATACCCCAAACACGGCAGCGCCCGGCCGCTGTATTGCTACACAACGAAGCTTGGGTATCACCTCACCCACCAGACGGTGGATGTGAATTGGGTAGTGGCTAAAAGATGGATGTCTACAGGTTGGATTCAGGATTCTCTCCCTAGGCTCTCACAAAGTTTTTTCGGAGAGCTTCTGGAAACTGCTAATGGATCTGCCTACGGTTAAGCAGGCAAGTTTCATTTGGTCGATGGCCCACCTGGCCGTTGTTCCCACAGCGCAATGGTGTGCTCTGGGACGAGGCTAGAGGATATCTGCAACACGTGTTTACATTGTGAGCTCTCTAGGCAACCGTGGGCTTGGTGGAGATTGGAAACAGCACCGAATCCCTCATCGTAATACGAGAGATGGAGAGACGAGCATGTGTTGCTTGGGGCTGTGGCTAGAAGACAAAATAGGAATGGTCGTCCCCTGACATACGACATACCCTGAGGAAAGCCTGAGAGGAGCTATCCTTTGGACTTCGTGGACATTGCGGAACTCCTCTGCAGTTAGGACGGGGGAAAGACTGACTCTGCCTATGATTCGTGCGGAAGTAAAATTCTCCATCAAACAGATGGTTGCCACAGAATCGTCCATGAAAGTGCAGAACAAGGGATATGCGTCGAAACCTTTGCGGAATTTTCTACAACATTGGGAAGGATTTCCGGACCTGCTTCAAGTCCAGGAACGCAACAACAACTGACCGAGTACGAGTAGAGTTGATATTTTCATCCTTCTTTCTTTGACTGCATCGCTACGATTAGATTTTTGGATTTTATTTCTTTCCATAGTACAGGCAGTACAGGTAGTACAGGCAGTACAGACAATACAGGCAGTACAGGCGGTACAGACAGTGTGGGTAGTTTTGTAGGTTCAGCTTGTCAACTTTGTGATGTTGTAGGTTTGTTATAGATGGAGCCTCCCCGAGCATGCTACTGGTGTCTGCTCTTATCAGCCACCCTAGCACTCACTCGGGTTGTTTTTCCCAACAAAAAAAAAAAAAAAAAAAAAAAAAAAAAAAAAAAGATGTTGTAGGTTTGTTGCAGGCTTGTAGTTTTGTGTTTACCTTTGAACTAGCAGATGGAAATTGGAAGTGGTGTAAACAATGGGGTAAAGCAGTGTGTGCATGGGGGAGATGGGGTATAGGAGATAGTTGGGTACATCACACTAGGTGGACCCTCTGACCTGGGGCCAAGTCCCACTAGCAGCGTTTAGCTACCTCAACGCCTGAATCTGGACGTGTCTGTGGAGAAGTGCAGTTCAGGAAACTCAACACCATTTCTGCACAGGCATTTGGGAGATTTTGCATTCACCCATACTTTTTTTTTTTTTTTTTTTTTTTTTGCATTCACCCGTACATAATTTAGATTCCAGGTGCTTTCTTGATTCCTTTGCTTTTTATTTCTGCTGCTCCTTTAAGGGGGAGGGGCTCCACCTTATGAAGAAGGATTGGAGACCTAGCCGCCCCTGAATCTGGAACCCCATTACTTTGTGTATATCGCCTTGGGCACTGGGCCCTAACATGATTCTGATTTGGTTATTAAAAAAAGAGAGAAAAAGGGGAAAGAAGAAAGAAAAAGGACATGTACCATTATTAGCAGCAAAGACATGGCAGCTTAAAACATCATCTCCATTGAAATTCGCACTGAAGCTGTAAAGAAGATGGGAAAAAAACAAAACACATGCGCTTCATAATAGAGAACTGCCCCATGAACCTTCGAGTCAAACAGGGAGAAAAGGACAAGGACAAGAAACGAAGGGCTGTGACAGATCGTTCCATCAGAGTGTCGGTGCCATTTACAGCCCTTCGTTTCTTGTCCTTTTCTCCCCACGTATATGTACATTTTCTTTAGCTACATTCATTTACCGCATCCTTTCCTCAAAGGGAGAGAGAGACTGACAGACAGAGCCCCATTGTTGTCTGTTCTCAGTCATAGGGAGAAGCCCAGCATTTTGTGTGTGTGTATGTGTGTGTGTGTGTGTGTGTGTG